AGGAAGGAAGGAAGGAAGGGAGGGAGGGAGGGAGGGAGGGAGGGAAGGAAGTTAGTTAGTTATGTGAATAGATCTGATTACTTAAGGATTAAAAGAAGCCCCAAGACCCAATTCTGAGAAACATGTAGAGGTCAGATAGACATAATGAAGGAAAACTGGGTGAGAAAGATCCCTGAGGTAGGAGGAGGTGCGGGACAGAGTGGGTGTCATGGAAGCTGAGAGAGAAAAGTACATCTCCCGGGACAAACGCAGCTGGCAGGTCTTGATGAGCGCAGTGACAGATCCACTGAGCTCGGTCAGAGGGTGGTCCTGCCACCTTAGTAAGAGCAGTGTCACTGGGGTGCTAGGGAAAGATAATTATTCCCTGTTCACGTACTGCTAGAAGCCAGTTATGCTGAGCATCCATCCTAAACTTGAAAGTCAAATAAATGTGGGAAGGGTTTCCAAGGGAATCTCGCGTCTCGCCACTGCACCAGCTGAGTTTAATTTCCCAGGAGCCTGGCCTTGCCCACTGCCTCCCCCAGCCTGCAGCTCTAGCTGCTAGGATGCCAATATCTCTAACTCCAAACAAAGCATTAATTGTACCCCTGGGCCCAAATGATAACCTTTTTTCTAATACTGCTTGTTTTTGCCTTTTTTAAAACGCAGTGATGGTCAAAGCTCTCATCCACCAGCAGCAGCTCGTTCAGTTTAATAAATGCATCCACCATGAAGACAGAAATAGAAAGGGATAGCGTCCTCCTCATCATAGTACAGATGACCAGGCCTTTTTAAGTGACTGTAGACAGGAAAAACAGAAAGCAAAATACGTGCACATACACACACAGAGACACACACACACACACACATATCTATACATACCAAGCCATTAGATGGAAGTCTTCATTCAACTGCCTGGGCATTCAGAAACTGTGGAGTAACATCAGCGCCAGACTGCACAAACCCATCAAATTCATTTGACATTCATTGAACAAGTGCCTTGCACAAAGACAAATAACAGTAATAATAACAGCAGCCGTTCCTGGTGTCCTCACTCTGTGTGGGCTTTGCATGCGTTGCTTCCTTTAATTCTCACCCCTACCCTGGGAGGAATGTGTATTGTGTCATCTTCATTTTGTGGGTGAGGAAACCAAATCCTAGGGTTACTTACTCTAAGCGATGGGCCCATGCTGGTGGGCAGAGGAGCTAGGTTCAAGGATAAGAAAACCCTGTCACTGTCTACAAAGCCTTCATGCTAACCATGGTGAAACGGGGATGATGCGCCGTGGGGGTGCGGTGTGATCCCGTGCAGGAATGACCCACAGAGGGAGGAAGAGAATCACAAAGGCCCTGCCATGCAGTAGCAGCTCAGCCAGAAACCTCGGGGTCAGCCTGAGGTCTTTTCCCTCACTCTTCCAGGACTACTGCACCCCAGACACAGGTTAGACCAGTCTGCTTCTCGACAGCCATGTCATTAGTCAAAGCCACCATCATTAATCAGATGGACTCCTTGGACCACCGCGAGAGTCTCGGCTGTTCCCTCAGCATCCTCTCCTGCCTCCGCAGACCTCCCTTCCCACAGTAGTCAGAGGACTCTACGTGATACACAGACCATATCTGTAACGCTGCTCAGAACCCTTCAGCAGCTTCCCCGTAACTCTCACCTCCTTCCCCTTGTCTCCAAGGCCTTCCTTCCATGGTCTTGGCCTACCTTTGTAACCTCATCTCCCACAATACCTGTTAGTTCCCCAACAACCAGGACAGAGCCCAACATGAAGTAAATAGTAATTACGTGCCGAAGAAATGAAGGCAAAAATAAATGAGTGAACGGACAGAGAAGCTCCATGGAGGGAGCCGTGTTGGAGATGAGCGTTAAAGTGGAGTAAGACCTCTCAGGCAGCAAGGCCTGGGCTGGGAGGCAGTAAAACAGTGCTCTCAGTGCAGACAACCTGAGCAAGAGCACAGAGGCCTCCGGGGGCAGTGGGAGGGAGCCCGAGGAGGCCTGGAGGCAGGTGTGTGTGCAGCAACTCACACCCCCACAACTCAAAGTCAAGTGCGTAGCGTGAGCCCCTGGAGAGCCTGTTAAAACTTAGTATCTAGGGGTTCCATGCATGCAGATTCAACCAACTAAAAATCAAAAATATTAAAAAAGAAATGGATGTTTGTGTCTGTATTATATCATACATAACAACTATGTATAAGCTTTTACATTGTATTAGGTATTATTAGTAACCTAGAGCTGATTTAAGGGGGTGGCGTCCCTAGCTCAGTAGGTAGGGTGCCGGCCACGTACACCAAGGCAGGTGGGTTGAAACCCAGCCCCGGCCTGCTAAACAACAATGACAAATGCAACCAAAAAAACGGTGGGGCGTTGTGGTCCCAGCTGCTTAGGAGGCTGAGGCAGGAGGATCACTTAAGTCCAAGAGTTGGAGGTTGCTGTGAGCTGTGACACCATGGCACTCTACCAAGGGTGACAAAATGAATCCTGTCTCTAAAAAAAAAAGAAAGAAAGAAAAACGTATACAGGAGGTGCATAAGTTATATCCCAATACTACGTCATTTTAAATGACAGACTTGAGCATCTATGGATTTTGGTATCTGCAAGGGGATCTTGAAACCAGTCCCCCACAGATACCAAGGGACAACTCTGTGTGTGTCTGGTGTAAACGTGGTTTCTCTACAAGCCTTAATTTGGGGGAGGGACTGGTTTTTTTTTTTTAATAATTTTATATTTATGGGACTGGTACTTTAAAAGATGGATGCCCATCTCTGTTTTAAGCTTTTATCAGTTCCTTTGTTCTTGTCTGGGGATGAGTTACAGGCATAGCGGTCAGAGACCAGAGCAGGCTGAGCCCCAGTATGCCCCAGGGCCAGACTAGGGAAAAGATCAGCTTTGCTAGTGGCAAATTCATTGACGTGAAAGAAAATAAGACAGCCACACTGCAGCAGGGAACAGCAGTGGCTTCCTTCTCTGCAGCTGGCAGCTGGGATTCAGCTCCACCCCTGGTGTTCCCTGGGTTTCCCCATCACAGCCACCACCCTACCATGTACACATAAAGGAGGTTCTCAGGGTGAAGAGAGCACCCCCCACCCAGCCTCCACCTACCGGGGATGCTAAGGGGTTTGGGCACCAAGTAAAAACACCACTCTTTACAGCTCCATGAAACCCCAGAACTAACTGTACCAGGTTTATGCTCGTCTGTGGGTTTTAAGGGTAAAGAAAATTCCAGAGCCGCACTGTCCACTGCAGTAGCCACTAGCTCCATGTGGCTATTTAAATTTAAAGTACATGTAAATAAAATTAAAGTTTCTGCTTCTCAGTCACCCTTGCCACATCGAGCCACGTGTGGCCACCATGTAGGGCCATGCAGATACATAATGGATCATTGCCGTCATCACAGGACGTTCTGTTGGACGACACTTATCTAGATATTTCATCAGCTTTTCAAAGGCAACTATGACCGGAAAATGTTAAGAGCTGCTAAGTAAAGCCAGTAAAACGTCACAGGAGGAGTCAGAACACTTCCCTGGAGAGTGGAAAGGTTGTCACTGTGTCAGAGGCTGTGAACAGTCTGCCTGTGAATAATCTTTTGGTTCCAAAAATCCAACTCTAAGAACCCTTAGACCAGCGGTTCCAAACCTGTGACAGGTCATGACCCATAGGAACTGTATTAAAGGGTCACATCATTAGGAAGGTTGAGAACCACTGCCTTACACGATATCCAGATTTCATGGCTTATTCTTAATCTCCCCAGCACCACCACCATCTTTTTGGAAATAGACAATTTAATTCTAAAAATATTTGTTACTGAGGCCAAGTGTGGTGGCTTTCACCTGTAATCCCAGCTACTCAGGAGGCTGGGGTGAGAAGATTACTTGAGGCCAGAAGTTTGAGATCAGCCTGGACAACATAGTGAGACCTCATCTCAAAAAAGAAAAACAAAACCACAGATACTTGCTGTGAGATAGGTTCTCTGAGTTCCCAGGGCCTCTGTGCCCAACACAAGTCATAATGGTAAGTGACCGTGACATTCCCAGTGACCTTGTCTCCTTTGATGTATGTGACGGCTCTAGGTGGGTGAGGCAGTCTTGGAAAATGCCCGGCTCATGCTGCAGACGGAGACTATCCAGGCGGGTGCGGATGACTTTAAAGAGAGGTAACACTCTACAGCAGATGGGACAGTCCCTGCACACGGGAGACTCCTGGGCAACACAGATAAGGCCTGGAATCGGCATCATCCACCCCCAACTTCATGGGAGAATCCAAAGCCATGATCATCTGGCTCAAACCTCTCCTTGTAAACACAGAGTAGGCCCCCAGGGCTCAAAAATTTTGCCCCTTGTCAACTTCAGTTAGAGGAGGGATTCTCAAACTAGTGTGCAGTCAGAATCACCCTGGGGCCTTAACGAAACCAGACTGCTGTGCCCCACCCTCAGAGCTTCTGACTCAATAGGTCTGGAATGGGGCCCAAAATTTATACAGAGGGTGCCAAAAAATTACATCAAACATTTGTTATCTTGTATATTATATCTTTTATCTCTTCTTTTTCTTCTTCTTCTTTTTTTTTTTTTTTTTTTTTGAGATAGTTTCACTCTGTTGCCCCAGGCCAGAGAGCCATGATGTCAGCCTATTTCACAGCAACCTCAAACTGCTGGGTTCAAGAGATCCTCCTGCCTTAGCCTCCCAAGAGTCCGGGACTACAGTCACCCACCACAATGCCCAACTACTTTTTCTATTTTTAGTAGACATGGGGGTCTGGCTTGTGCTCAGGCTGGTCTCAAACTCCTAAGCTCAAGCATTCTAGCCACCTTGGCCTCCCAGAGGGCTAGGATTACAGGCCCGAGTTACTGTGCCCTGCCCTGCGTATCTCTTGTAACTGCTGAAGTCAAATGTGACTTGAGAACACGTATTACAATTTTAATACAGTTTTTTTTTTTCTTTCTTAAAATGTATAGACATTTTTGGACACCCTCTGTATTTCTAACAAGTTCCTAGGGATTCTGATCTGCTGGTCCTGGGACTCTATTTTGAGAACAACTACTTTAGAGCCATGGTTCTCAGTCCTGCATTTTAGAATTACCAGGACACTTAAACATGCCAGTGCTCAACCCTACAGACTAATTGATTCAGAGTCCCCAGGGGTGGGGCCTGGGCTGCAGCAGTTTTCAACCTTACTAGGTGACTTAAAAGTGGAGCCAGGCTTGAGAACCGTGTTTCATGGTCCCTCAGCCCCTGAAGGCATTTGGGTTTACACACTGTCCTGGAATTTCACGCTGGCTCTTTGGAGATAGAAACCATATTCCTCATTTTGGGATTCCTAGCCTGGTACTTGGCAGGTTCTCAGTAAGGCTGGGTCCCCGTACCTGGATCTGCACTCCTGGAGATTTCCCTAGAGCTCTATGCTTGAAATGCTCCAGGAGGCTGGCACCCAAGGAAGCCAGGTTATCAGAAATTGGTGGCAATTGCTGTCATTTTAATAAGTCAAATGTGACAATAGCATTTACAGTGCCTGCCCTCCAAGCTACTGGAATAGCGACTTCCACTATTCATTGTCAAACCATCACATAATTGGACTGTTAGTAACATTTATAATCTGATTTTTTTCGTTATGCTGATTAAGTTCCTTTATCTGCAGATATGAAAATGAGCAGCCATTTCGGAAGGCAGCAGAAGAGGAAATTAACTCCCTGTATAAAGTCATTGATGAAGCTAACTTGACCAAAATGGATCTGGAGAGTCAAATAGAAAGTCTGAAAGAAGAGCTCGGCTCTCTGTCAAGGAACTATGAAGAGGTGGGTGGAGGAGAGGGCTGCTGGGGTGGCCACAGGCCCTAGGCGTTCTCCTGTCTGTGCATCAGAACGTGGTGACAGTGGCTTCTCTCAGCCTCTTGGCACTGCACGGTCAGGGCTGCTGGAAACATGCCTGGAAGATGCCTTCAAATCCTTGCTGTGGGCCAGGTTACCCCAGCAGTCTCAACCTCAAATAGCTTCAGGGACCAGACTGGGAGGAATGGGGGAAGGCAGCAGGTCCAAACACCAGCAGGTGATGGAAGGAGGGGATTGGAGGCAGCACACCCTCCTCAAAGCATTCTCTATATGTTGGAGATTTATTTCAACACTGTATTGTACAAACTAACTAACTCTTAGGGTAGAGCCAAGCTGTGATTTACACAACTCCTTAATGAAATTAGATCAGATCATGGAGTGGCAGGACTGAAGGAGACCCCAGCAGTTATCAGTTCAGTCCTAAACCACCCCCTACACATCACTGTCTGATATGTGATCTAAGTTGCTGCTTGTTAAAAAAAAGTCACAACCCACTGAACAATGCCACCTTGGGAAGTTCTTCCTTGTATCCAGCGTAAGCTACCCAGCAACCACGAGTCCACTTCTTTCTTGCTTTTCTGAGCTCAGTCATTTAAGACTACTCTCCAAGAATAACCCTTTAGAGTCTCTGAAGTTCTCTTTAAATCTCTCTTAGCCTAGTCTGACTTTATGCCTAAACACATTTTGCTGTTATTGCTTACTTTTTGTTTTTATTTGTTTACTTTTATTTTTGCTCTGGGCTTGGGCTTGTGGAGCCCTAAAAAAATGTATCCCCAGGAAAAGAGAATATGGTCCCTATGCTAGGGCATAGAGCATCAGGGACTTTGCCAGTCCCTGTGAAGGCCCATGTTAGGCAGGTGCAATATGAGAAGCAAAAACACTGCCCGGAGAGCCGATTCTGCTGGCCGCAATTCTGTGTTACTCATTTAAGATGTATATTGTCGTTTTCAGGATGTGAAGGTGCTGTACAAACAGCTGGCAGGGTCTGAGCTGGAACAAATGGATGTTCCCATCAGCACTGGTCTGGATGACATCCTCGAGACCATCAGAATTCAGTGGGAGAAAGATGTGGAGAAGAACCGGATGGAGGCAGGAGCCTTGCTGCAAGCCAAGGTGAGAGGGCAGGGCAAGCAGCCTCCACTCGGCCTGCGGGGAGGGGCCCGGCAGAGGTGAGAAGTAGTCAAGACGTGGAAGATGAACTGCAGCTGTTCAGTAACAAGCCTGGTGTCATTGAATGGAGAAAGGCAAACAAAAGCCTCTCTAAAAGCAGAAAATGTTTGAAATGGTATATCAGTGCCAAAAGTATATGGAGAAGTAGGTTCTCTACTGGGTTATTGAAGAGCACAAACTAGCACACAGCATCTGTCTAAAAGATTTGGTCATATGAATGGAGAATATTAAAGCACTTCTACCTTCCAGTTGAATAATCTAGACACAGCCCTACAAAAATAACTGAAAATGGGCTGGGTGTGGTGGTTCACACCTGTAATCCTAACACTCTGGGAGGCTGAGGCAAGAGGATCCCTTGAGCTCAGGAGTTTGAGATTAGCCTGAGCAAGAGCAAGACTCTGTCTCACTAAAAATAGAAAAATTAGCTGGATGTTGTGGTGGATACCTGTAGTCCCAGCCACTTGGGAGGCTGAGACAGGAGGATTGCTTGATCCCAGGAGTTTGGGTTGCTGTGAGCTAGGCTAATGCCTCTGCACCTAGCCTGGGTGACTTGGTCTCAAAAAAAGAAAAAAAGAAGAAGAAGAAAAAGAAATTGAAAATACAAATAGTTTCTGTCCCAATATGCTCACCCAAACTTACGAGGGTAAACAAAAGTAGGGGCAAAAACACACCAAGATTTAATAAGGGGAGGAAGACTACACCACAACCTAACTAGGCCGTCTGCGACAGAACATCAGGCAGCTATTAGAAATGATGTTTATGAAGCATTTATAATAACGTGGGGAAATGCCCATGACGTAGGGTAAACTAAGGAGAAAAAGAGAGTAAAGAATGGTGTCTACTAGAAGCCAACACATTTGTTCTGTAAAAGACCAGATAATAAACACTTTAGGCCTTGTGGACCTAATGGTCTCAACTGTGCCACTGTAGTGTGAAAGTGGCCCTCGACAGCAGGTAACAAATAAGCACAACTGTGTTCCAATAAAACTTTATTCACAAAAATAGGAGGTGAGCTGGATTTGGCCTGCAGGCTGCCATTTGCCAACCTGGGAATATACAGCAGGTTGAAGTAATCAAAGAAACTAGGCATCAAGAAAAAATTAGAAAGAAAAGACTAAGATGTTAACAGTGTTAGTTGTTGCCTTTGAGTGATTAATCAATCTGATACTGCTTTCTACTTTGTTTTGAAGTATTTCTCACGCTTTTCTGAAATAGCCTGAATGATATTCATGGAGGAAAAGCCAGCTTTATTCAACTCCATAAATAATAAAGAGATTAGCCAGAAAATGGAATGGATAGAGTCTATTTTTCTCTTCTCCATCTCCCACTCCTTTATGACTAGAATTTTAAGACAGAAAATGAAAAGGGAAGAGAAAGGAAAATGTGAAGCAGTGAGAAAAATAAGGTAGAATATTCAAGAAAAGGCAACAGGCTGCTTCTGAGCTCCTATTCCCCATTCAGTGGCTCCCAATCCTGGCCGTGCCGCAGAATTATTTCAGAGCACTTTCAAAACTGCTCTGCACAGGCCCCGTCTCAGATCAATTATATAAGAAGGAGAGGAGGGATGTTGTGATTTTTTTAAAGCTGGGGCTAGTTCTAACATGCAGCCAGTTAGAGAACCCTGAGAGTTTACAAAGCTATGAAAAGGAAAATAGGAGTGGCCTTTCTGGCCTTCCTCCCACCATGCTCCCTCAGTGTGAGCCACAGATAGCAGCAGGAACCTCCCTAACAGAGGCTTCACCACTGTTGGATCCTCCACCTGTTCTCCAGCCTGGAAAACATTCCCCACGCCCCTGTATCTTTACCCCTCCCGCCTTTCAATAGCTTCTTTCTAGCGATCAAATCTTTGACCCAGGTCACAGCAAACATTTTTTGGCGCGGTAATAGAGCATCTAGTAACTCAACTAATAACTGATAAATCAACCAGATGAAGCCCCTGAGCCCTGCCCACTCTGTTGAGAGGTGGAACAACACAGAGGTAAAGTGAAGCCAGACCATGCACTTGATCTGGGTCCATTGCCTCTTTCCTAAGAGACTCGTGAATGTTTATGGTTAAGGACCCCAGAGGCCAGCTGGTCCCATTTGTTCATTTTAGAGTTGAAGAAACTGAGACCCAGAGAGTGCAGGTGACTTCCCAAGGTCACGTGGCTGGTTGGTGTCTCCATAGTTCGGCTGTCCTGGCTCTGGGGGCCTTTCCTCTGCACTGGGCTGCACGATTCCTTCCCTGGCTCTGTTCTCAAAGCTACATCCCAGAGGCCAGCAGCTTGCAAACTCACTTCTGCCCCACCACTCCTGGGTTGCATACCACACTGTAGGAATTATTTATTTGAGAAAGGATGGGCCATTATAATCATGCAGAAATAAATCCTGCATAGTTTGAAAAAACTGACCATTATTATTCACCCTTTACCTCTTTGAGAATTCCCACCAGCCCAACAGTAACTCAAACATTAATTCTGAACAGATTCATTAGTGTTTTTTTAATAGAGTAATCTGAAAGCTACATCTCGGAGAAAACAGACAGTATTTGTTTTAGTTTGGCCGCTGCTGCTGGGGCCTCTTGCAGAGAGGCAGTGCTCAGAAAATATTTGCAGAATGAGTGAATTCCTCTGATCATCAGCAGAGATCAGAGCTGACAGCCAGGATTCCTCAATAAATAGTTTTGTCAGTTGCAGTTGTGCCCTCGGGGGCTGACATTTGCCCATCCTGAGCATCTCTTGTTGGTTTCTTGGCAGCAAAGCATAAACTGAAATGGCTTAGTGCACACTGCTTTCCAAAGCTTTTGTAAAGAGATGCAAACATGCATTTAATCACCTTTCAGACCAGGGAGGCTGAATATTAATTAAGGTGATTAACTTTTGTCTTAGTTTAGGTTCCCCCAGAAGCAGATCCTGAGACAAATACTGGAGTGAAAGTAGTTCATGTGAAATTTGAGGAGTGGAGGAGGGCGCGGAAAATTACTAGTAGAGGAGAAGCAGAGAAAGGAACCCACAAAGATCATCACACCAGGACCACTGTGGGAGACTAGGGCCTACACACAAGGGAATCTTGAGAAATGGTTTAAGAATTCAGGAGAGAGGAGAGGCAAGGGGGCTGGGGCAGTAATTCCACCTCCTGTCAGTCTTCTGCTATCTGCCAGCAGAGTGACCTTTGGAAGACTTCTGAGAAACTTTGCAGAACTGGCAGTGAGAAGCGGCAGAAATGTAAAGTATGAAAGCCTGCGGGATAAAGGTGATGCCATCGCATCTGCTGCAACTCACCTGCAGCTCTATTTAATTTATTTTTACTCTTTAAAAGCTTATAAAGAGGTTCTAACCAGGGTCAGTGCAGTAACCACATTCTCTCCAGCCATGGTAGTATGGATATCAGAAACCTCAGTGGTCCAGTTTTGGGAGCATCTGACGTTGCATGATTCAGTAATTGGGGCATCAGACAGGTCCAGAGAATTTCTGTAGTATCTAAAGTCTGACTCTTTCTTTCTATTGGTTGTGGTTACCCAGCTTGGGGTATTTAGGGATGTTTCGGGAAGCTCAGACAACATGCCATGCTATTCTCCAGAGCACCTGGTAGCCATGTGAAATTTTAAAAAATTTTTTAAAGCTGGGCACAGTGGAGCATGCCGCCAGTTCCTGCCACTTAGGATGCGGAGGCAGATGGGTCATTTGAGTCCAGGAGTTTCACCTGCAGTGCCCTGTCACTGTACCTGGGAATAACCACTGCCTTGCGACCTGGGCAGCATAGCAAGACCAGTCTCTTAAAATACGCGCGCGTGGGCGCGCGCACACACACACACACACACACAAAACCCCTCTTTTCCCCCATACTTTCATATAACGCTTCTGATGCCAAATGTGTAGGTCTTTCCACACCGAGCAATTCTCCAGACACCAGCTGGATGTCCTACATTTCAATGCAATTCTGACACTGCCAATTGGAGTTAGCACAGATCCCACAGGTTAAGGGCTCAGTCCCATAACACTGCTCCCACTTCAGGTGACAACTACAAGTCTAGCCCTCCCCTACTTCTGACCAAGTGGCTATAAATTGAGGATTCCAATAATAATTTCTAGAACAGCTCATAAAAGTCAGGGAAACACTTCACTTATTTTCATTAGTTTATTATAATGGATACAACTTGGGAGCAGTTGAATGGAAGAGATGCATCAGACAAGGTGCGGGGGGTGGGGCACAGGGTGCCCCAGATTCAAATTTTTTCCTTTTTTTTTGAGGCAGAGTCTCACTATGTAGCCCTTGGTAGAGTGCCATGATGTCACAGCTCACAGCAACCTCAAACTCTTGGTCTTAAGCGATTTTCTTGCCTTAGCCTCCAGAGTAGGTGGGACTACAGGCGCCCAACAGAATGCCCAGCGATTTTTTTTGTTATTGTTGTCATTTTTGTTTAGCAGACCCTGGCTGGATTTGAACCCCCAGCCCCAGTGCATCTGGCCAGTGCCCTAACCACAGCTACAGGCGCCAAGCCCAACCTTTTTACTTTTTGTAGTAACACTTAGCTTAAAACACAAACATATTGTACTGCTACAGAAAAACATTTTCTTTCTTTACATCCCTATTCTATAAAATAAGCTTCTTTTAATTTATAAAAAAACACACACAACATTAGCCCTGCAGCCTACAGGGTCAGGATCATCAGTATCACCATCTTCCAGCTCACCTTGTCCCACTGAAAGGTCTGCAGGGGCAGTGACACACAGGGAGCTGGCCTCTCCCATTGTTACCATAGTAACAATGCCTTCCTCTGCAATACCTCCTGAAAGACCTGCCTAAGGCTGTTTTTCGGTTTGTTTGTTTGTTTGTTGCTTTTTTAAGACAGAGTCTTACTTTGTTGCCCTGGTAGCTGCTGAGGCCTCACAGCAACCTCAAGCTCTCAGGCTCAAGCTATGCTCTTGTCTCAGCCTCCTGAGTAGCTGGGACTACAGACATCT